CCTACATCCAGGGAGCACTGCGGACTCAAATAATGATGCATCTGGACCAAACTTAGCATGAATACTCAATATGCCCAAATGTGAACACGGAGTGTGGGGAAAAAATACCTCGACATTTGGGGGTTGTAGTTACTGGGATTTATAGTTCACCTACAATCAAAGAGCATTCTGAACCCCACCAACGATAGACTTAAGCCAAACTTCCCACACAGAACCCCCTTGACTAACAGAAAATACTATGTTTTCTCATGGTCTTTGGTGACTCTTCTGACACCCCCTTGCAACCCCCCCAGGTGTCCTGGCCCCAGGTTGAGAAATGCTGCTTTAAGGCCATCCAGTCCAACTTCCTTCACTAGGGCAAGAAAACATAATCAAAGGCCTCCTGAGAAAGAGCCATCCAGCCATAGATATACATATATATGATTCACACAGACATATGTATATGACAGATACAGTATCATAGATTTGAAAGGGACTCCTAAAGATGGACAATTACATGTTGCATGTTCCAGAGTAGGCAAACCAGACAATCTCTACATCAACACTGACAAAGAAACAACAAGAAACACTAGGTTGTTGTAGGTTTTTTCAGGCTCTACGGCCATGTTCTAGAGGCATTCTCTCCTGACATTTCGCCTGGATCTATGGCAAGCATCCTCAGAGGTAGTGAGGTCTGTTGGAACTAGGGAAATGGGTTTATATATCTGTGGAATGACCAGGGTGGAACAAAGAACTCTTGTCTGCTGGAGCTAGGTGTGAATGTTTCAACTGACCACCTTGATTAGCATTTGATGGCCTGGCAGTTGTTTGATGTTTGTTTGTTTGCCAATTGGTCACTGTTGAATGTTTTTATATTGTGTAAATGCTATTTTAGATTGTAAGTCGCTCGGAGCACCTTGGTGGAGAGCGACTAATTAAGAAATAAAGTGAAGTGAAGTGAAGTGAAGTGATGTGGCATGTTGGTGCCTGGGGCAATCTTTTGTTGAGAGGTGATTAGATGTGCCTGATTGTTTCCTCTCTGTTGTTTTGCTGTTGTAATTTTAAAGTTTTTTTAACTCTAGTAAATGAGAAAACCTGTTTACCCACAAGCATAAAGAAATTATATATATGAGAAACCAACACTTTCTAATTATTTTCCAGATCTCCAGACTGGGCCACAGCAATGCGTGGCAGGGGACTGCTAGTTCCTAATAATAATAATAATAATAATAATAATAATAATAATAATTTGAGAACACAGAAATGCTGGACCACAGCAACAACCACCATGTCAGACTACACAGAGAAGCCATTGAAATCCACAAGCATGTGGACAATTTCAACAGAAAGGAGGAGACCATGAAAATGAACAAAATCTGGCTACCAGTATTAAAAAACTCTAAAATTACAACAGCAAAACTGCAGAGAGGAAACAACCAGGCACATCTTAACACCTCTCAACAAAAGGTTTTCCCAGGCTCAGACAGGCCTTCAAATGCTAATGAAGGTGATCAGCTGAAACATTCACACCTAGCTCTAGCAGGGAAGAGCTCCTTGCCCCACCCCAGCCATTCCACAGATATATAAACCCATTGTCCCATTTCCACAGACCTCACTACCTCTGAGGATGCTTGCCATGGATGCAGGCGAAACGTCAGGAGAAATGCCTCTAGAACATGGCCCTATAGCCCGAAAAAACCCACAAGAACCTAGTGATTCCAGCCATGAAAGCCTTCGACAATACAATAATAATAATAATAATAATAATAATAAACCCTGGAGGGCCCAAGGAAGGAAGGGGCCTGGGGCTGTTAGGAATGGTGGGAGCTGAAGTCCAAAACCTCTGGAGGGCTCAAGTTTGCCCAGGCCTGCAAACTTTATTTATATTTATATTGCTTTATATATATTTATATTGCAAATAAAGCCAGCCAAAGGGTTAAGCGAGAGGTCTTCCCTCAGGGATGACTTACCCCAGTGCGGTTCGTTCAAACGTACAGCAAGAAAACGGGCGTTTGTTTCTGGCCTCTGGTTCTGAAGAAACGAGCCCTGGGTTTGGCAGGAGCCTCAGGTCGCAGTTATGCTAATTTTCGTGAACTGGAGGTGACGTCTCTAGTTCAAGGGCGCTCCCACTCTGGTGTGTTTACTATCGAGAGCCATCTCGTTCAGGAGGCAGGCGGGCAGCGAGTTAGAGCATCGTCACACAACGGAAGCGTCCTCTCCTAGCAACTGCCCGGAGGGCTTACCCGCCACCGATAACGAGGAGACATGGATCTCCTGCCTCGAAACGCCGCGAGGCCCAAAGAGCGGCCACGTCGCTATGGCAACGTGTGCTCGCGCGCCGCCACGCCCCCTCTCCCTCCCTCCCTCCGCTGCCGCGCCAACCTTCTGACCCCGATTCTCTGGGTAGGCTGTTTACCTCGGTTGCCTAGCAACGCTCACGCACATGCCGCCTAGCCATTCCTGTTCTGCCTCGACGCTGGACTACATCTCCCATAATCCCTTGACGCTCGCTGTAGTGGCAGGGGAGACTGGGAGTTGAAGTCCATTTGGGTTGGTTTTTTAATTAATACTAGCCGTTCCCCGCCACGCGTTGCTGTGGCCCAGTCTGGTGAGCTGGAAAATAAAGTAATGAGAAAGTGTGGGTTTCTAATATATGTAATTTCTTGCGATAAACAGTATTTCTTGCTGTTTCTTTGTCAGTGATCTCACTACTCTGGAACATTACTACTCCACGCTCTTGTTACATCCCCCCCCCCGAATAGACTACTGCAACACACTCTACGTGGGGTTGCCCTTGAAGACTGTTCTGAAACTTCAACTGGTCCAGCGAGCGGCAGCCAGACTACTCACCGGAGTGTCATACAGGGAGCACACCACCCAGGCATGTAGGGGGGGGGGGGGGGGGGGCTTCCTCCGCAGGGCTCAGCCCCCCCCCCCCCGAAATTCTCATGGTGGTTCGCGAAAAGGCCTTACTGGTGCATTATTTAAACTGTTATGTTTATTCATATCATGATCTGATCACCATACTCAATATATCCCATATGCATGGGGGTATTGGGGTAATGATACAAAAGGTTTGCTAGGCTAGACCCTCTTTCACTCAGACTCAGCCCCCCCCAAAACTCACCCCCCCCCCCTGAAAAAAATTCACACCCCACACCCCCGAAACAACCCCCCTGCTGTGTCAGCTCCACTGGCCACCGGTTCAGTTCCGAGCACAATTCAAGGTGCTGGTTTTGACCTACAAAACCTTGTATGGTTCCGGTCCAGTGTATCTGTCCGAACGTATCTCCCTCTACGTCCCACCCCGGAGTCTGAGATCATCTGGGGAGGCCCTGCTCTTGACCCCACCGCTATCACAAGTGAGGTTGGTGGGGACGAGGAGCAGGGCCTTCTCGGTGGTGGCCCCTCACCTGTGGAACTCACTCCCGGGAGAAATTAGGGCATCAACATCCCTCCTCTCCTTCAGGAGGAAAGTAAAGACGTGGTTGTGGGACCAGGCCTTTGGGCAATCTGACAACTAGATAAGGACAATCAAACGACTAGGACTGACAGGACTGACAATGTGGAATTGGAATTTGGACTATGAGATAGCGAACGCTGACCGTCTATGAGGAGTAATTAGGTTTGTATCATTTTATTGGTTTTATTGGTTTTAGGGCTGTAATGCAGGAATTGTTGTTTAACTGTTTCAACTGTTTAATTGATGTTATTTTGTTTTACTACTGTTATGTGATGTTGGCATCGAATTGTGCCTTTGTAAGCTGCCCTGAGTCCCCTTTGGGGTGAGAAGGGCGGGGTAGAAGAAACCGAAATAAATAAATAAACAAACAAACATGCTACTCTCCGAACGCATCTCCTTCTATGAACCGACTAGGACACTATGATCATCTGGGGAGGCCCTGCTCTCTGTCCCGCCTGCATCACAACGTGCTTGGCGGGGATGAGAGACAGGGTTTTCTCGGTAGTGGCCCCTTGGCTGTGGTACTCTGGTAATAAATAAATAAGAATATATAATAAAACTTGATTTATATACCACTCCATCTCCCTGAGGGGACTCAGTGCGGTTCCCAAGTAACATCACAAAACATACAGAGTAAAAACAACATAACTATTTTATTTATTTATTTATGTATTATTCGAACTTATATGCCGCCACTCCCCTGGGGCTCGGAGTGGCTTACAAGAATGGCTAAAATCTAACACAACTTAAAAACAATTTAAAACAATTTAAAAACAGCAATATTCAAAATCAAAGGCCTGTTGAAACAAGTATGTCTTACAAGCCCTGTGGAAAGCTGATAAGTCCCGCAAGGCACGGACTTCAGGTGGCAGATGCTGTGATGGTGCCACTGCTGTAAAGGCTCTGCGTCTGGTTGCTGTTAGACGCAAGAGTAACAAACAAAATATGAGTATAAAAATTGTCGCCATAACACACATATATTAAAAGTAATCCTGCCTGTTCAAGTCAATTAAAAATTTAAAAGGCCGGGTCAAGATTTGTACAGGCCCAAAAATTCTAGGGGACCCGGGAATTAAGTGCAATGCTATGGCAGGCAACAATAATATTAGGTACGGGTCTGTGGCTGTTCATTCCCAATGCCTATATATAAATAAATATAGGCATCGGGAACATCTCTGAAAATTCCCTTTTTAAAACCACGCCTCCTCTAAGATCTGTTGGAAAAACCCAATTTTCCTAGTTTCTAACAAGACCACACAACCTCTGAGGATGCCTGCCATAGATGCAGGCGAAACGTCAGGAGAGAATGCTTCTGGAACATCGCCATAGCCCTGAAAACACACAACAACCTATTCCTATTGGATGTTAGGAATTGGGAGAGTTGAAGTCCAAAACACCTGGAAGGAGGCCGAAGTTTGCCCATGCCTAATATGCAGTATATTTGTGTGTGTATATATATGTATACCAGGCATGGGCAAACTTCAGGCCTCCTTCCAGGTGTTTTGGACTTCAACTCCCACAATTCCTAACAGCCTCACTTCCGGTCTACGGCTTAGGGAGGGGCCTCTCTAGGCAGAGAGACGGAGGCCAGCTCTGTGGTTTCGCAGTCGAGCCGTTAGTGGCGGTTAGAACCCTGAGCGCGCGAGCTGGCTGCTGATTGGCTGAGGAAGGCGGCCCCTCTTCTGAGGAGGGGAGGCTGTCGGGTATACTTTCAGGCGGCCCCAAAGAGCCTGCAGGTGCCAAAAGCGACCCCCCGCCCCCTTTTTTACATATGCATGAGGATGCAAATGAAGGCAGGGTTTACTCTCTGCCCTTGCCTTGCCATTTGGCCTTTGACTTTCCCCTTCAGAGGACATGTCAGCTGTCCTCATGGAGCCATTGCTGGGGGCTAGCGGGGGGATATGGGCTCTGTACCTGCGTTATCTCTCTGGCCTAATGGCACTTTTGCTTTTGATCCAGGGACCACTGACCATGGCTGAGGGAGATGGACTCGTGTCAATCGATTACGAAGTGTTCGGGAAAGTGCAAGGGGTGTTTTTCCGCAAATACACACAGGTATCTGCCCTTCCTGGCATGTCAAGGGTTACACTAACACAGGCATTGGCAAACTTTGGCCCTCCAGGTGTTTTGGACTCCAACTCCCACAATTCCTAACAGCCGGTAGGCTGTTAGGAATTGTGGGAGTTGGAGTCCAAAACACCTGGAGGGCCGAAGTTTGCCCATACCTGGACTAACATAAATTAAGGCTACAAGATCACTTCCACACACCTGAATCAAATCCCACATTATCCGCTTTGAACTGGGATATATGGCAGTGTGGACTCAGATAACCCAGTTCAAAGCAGATACTGTGGATTTTTTGACTTGATATTCTGGGTTATAGCTGTGTGGAAGGGCCTTGAGGTTGGATCTGCACTCCCCAATATCCCATGATCTGATCCCAGAGTATCTGCTTTGAACTAGATTATATAAGTCTACACTGCCATATAATCTGGGATAAACATTATCCCAACATTATTTCCAATTTTAACTTTACATTTGGCCTTCCCACTGTTTTTAATTGTGTGTTGTCTTAGTGATAATGTTGTATATTTTATTGCTTATGTTTTTTTATTTTTAATTGCTTGTATTGTTGTTTATTGTCTGTATTGTTGTATTTGGGCTCAGCCTCATGTAAGCCGCACCGAGTCCCTTGGGGAGATGGTAGCGGGGTACAAATAAACTGTTGTTGTTGTTATTGTTGTTGTTGTTATTATTATTATTATTATTATTATTATTATTATGGGGTCCTGGAATATAGGGCAGCGTTGAAGGGACCTTACTTAAGAGCAGAAACATTCAAGGTTAATGCTGTTAGAATCAGCTGTCTGGCTATTATTTATTTATGTCTCACTTTATATTTCTAAAGACACCCAAAGTAGCTTAAAATATATTCATTTTGCATTTCCAGGGGTGGGGATAGAGGGTTGATAACAGAAACGAGTTGAACAGTATTTTTTTTTTTACTCTTTTAAGGAAATCGATTCTTATTTAAAAAAGGCAGCTTATACTTTTCTCTGTATTCAGACAGATCATTGCATCTTCTTCAGGAGATATTCTGTATATGGATTTTTCTCCTTTAGGCTCAAGGAAAAAAACTAGGTGTAGTTGGCTGGGTCCAGAACACTGACCAAGGCACTGTGAAAGGACAGATCCAAGGCCCAACTCTCAAGGTGCGGCAGCTTCAAGAATGGCTTCAGAAGACTGGAAGTCCCAAGTCCCGCATTGACCGAGCTGAATTCCGTAGCGAGAAGAAGATCACTCGCTTAGATCATAGTGATTTTTCTATTGTCAAATAACAAGGGCCAAGGGAGCACAGCACCTCATTCATGGAAAGAGCCTCAAGTTTTCCCTTTAGTTTTCTGTTTGTTCATTGTTTACATGCATATTTGTTCACTCCCAAATGTTATTTATTTAGTGTTTATTGAATGGCCAAATATATAGTCAGATTTAGTAATGTATAACCTTGATGTGTTAATAGAGCATACATCCAGAAGTATGCAAAAATTGGATTGCCACATTGAAAAGCTTGACATGAATGAGCTGTCATATGTTTTTTTTCAGGGCTATTGGTGGAATTTCTAGTTCCCATGCAAACTATGATTTGTTTTAGTGTTTTTATGAAATATGCTTGGTTTTAATTCTCTTTCATAAGTGATTCCTAATACTTTATGAAGAGTATAAGGTAACAGAATGTAATTCCTGGTTTTGTTATTGTGAATCCTGTCTATACTATAAAAAAGCTGGTTCTCACAATTTGTCACACCTCATATGACAAGGAAATATAAATGAGCCTATGCAAGTGAAAGGGCAGAGAACATAAGAAGAGGCGTGTTGGAGAAGGCTCATTTAGTTCAGGCTTCAGTTCTGACCACAGCCAAGCAATGTCAAGCAAGACATGAGGGCAGTAGTAGTTCATATCATATTCCCCATTAACTATGTTCTGAAATGTACTGCCCCTATTAACGAGGAAATGCATAGTTAGTCATAATACTAGTAACTATTGCTAGCCCTTGCCCTGGTGGTTATAGGGAATGCATTATTCCACAATTATTGGGGTCATGAGAGGCAGGAAACAACCTTTTCTCAGGTAGTGTCCTGCAATTACCTTTTTCCCCTCAAATAAGTAAATAGTTGCCATTCATTCCTATGGAGAAAATAAAGCAGTGTATTTAAGTGCACAATTGTGGAGTAAAACTTATGTTTCTATTACTAACACTATACAGAGATGTAATTACCCCTTTGGACTCCTTGCAATGTACAAAACTTCTCTCACATGTATATCCTACCACTTTTGGTATACAGTACCAGGGGTGCTGTGGTGACAAAGCAGGGGAGATAATGCAGGGATAAAAAATGCAGGCATGGCTGTTGCTTTTTTAAATCTAGTAAATACATGTTTAGAGATCCAGCATGGTGTGGCTGTTTGAGTGTTGGATTATGTCTCTGGATATCAGAGTTAGAATCCCTGTATGGCATAGAGGCCCAATTGAGGCAAGCCACACTCAGCCTCAGAAGAAGGCAAAGGCAAACCTTTTCAGTCAATCTTACCAATGGAAAAGCCCATGAGCCTTAGGGTCACTGACTTAAATGCACACAACAACAATATAACTATCAAAGCCTTGGTACTTTAGGTATATGATCAGACTTCAAGCAAGAGGCTTAAAATATTTCACTTTGGCTAAGAGGAGAAATGGGCTTTTGAAATGTTCATATTTCCAAAGGGGATTTACTATTTAGACATCTTCTTTTCAAAGAGTTGAGAGTCCTGGTACCAGATCTTAGCTGGTTGTTACTTTTCCAGTACATGAAGGTTGTTACTTCTTCATGCTACCTATACTTTTAGGGCACATGTCTCACACTCAAAGCCAGTGGGCTGAACCGGCCTGCTGTGTCATTTTATTTGGCCCTCCAGCTGCTGGACTACAACTCCTGTATTCCTTATCATTGGACATACAGTAATGACTGGAATTGATGGGAGTTGTGATACAGGAATATATGGAAGATTGCAGTTTGTTCTGTTTAGTCAGGATTGTGGGATTTGAATTTAAATACAAGGCTTGTGGATATGATGTCTGACTTTAAAATATCCTTTAACCTTTCCTTGTCCTCAGAGCCATAAGTGCTGGTGGGTTGCAATCCCCATTATCCCCAAACTGTATGGCAGATAATTAAAGGTGAAGGTAGCTGTAGTTCAAGTACACCTGGGGACCCAAATTGGATAAAATCAGTGACCACTATGTAAAAAAATACATAGTTTTCCCTACGTGGTCGTGCTGTGAATACGCACTATTGGTACTTCTGCGCATGCGCAGCATAGCTCCAAAATCTTCAGTTAGATTTTGAAAGGAATCGGCGGTTGGCCCCGCGCACACTCCCCATGATATAAATAGCTGGCTAACCTCCTCCAGATCTCTTCATCTGCGCTAAAACAGCAAGCTCAGATCTTCTCTCTATCAGAATCGGAGCACAGCATATGTACAGCAAACATTCAATGCCGGGACAAGAATTCATGATATGCAAACATAAACATTAAAAACATTTATCTCAATATTAATTTTTTTTTGTCGTGTCAGGAGCTCCTGTTGTGAGAGAATTGGCTGTCTGCGAGGACGTTGCCCAGGGGACGCCTGGATGATTTTGATGTTTTTATCCTTGTGGGGGGCTTCTCTCATGTCCCCGCATGAGGAGCTGGAGCTGTTAGAGGGAGCTCATCTGCCTCTCCCCGGATTCGAACCTGCGACCTGTCAGTCTTCAGTCCTGCAGGCATAGGGCTTTAACCCACTGTGCCACCAGGAGCTAAAATACACTGTTAAAACCGTCTTGGTCATCTGTGTCAAATCTTGGCCTGGTAAAGTTTCCTAAAGCTGCTTTATTGCACTGTCCCGAAAGCTTGGTCCCACAGCTAAGTTTTTACCATCCTTCTGAATGGTTGGCCCTCTGTATCCACGGATTCTTAATCCATTGATTCCCTGACCCTTTGAAGGCAAACATCTGGCTGATGCTGCTGTGGATGAAAATAAGTTTGACAGCCCTGTTTTAGGGCAAGCCCTGTAATAATTCCACTTCTCAGTTGATGCCAACATTTACTGCTGCTTCTTCTCCTCCAGTCTTTTGCTTTGTACAGAACAGAAGTCCAGAAGAATAACCCATCTTTGGGGGATCATCTGATCCACGAGGAACTCAATCTATATAATAATAATAATAATAATAATAATAATAATCATCATCATCATCATCATCATCATCATCATCATCATCATCATCATCATCATCATCATCATCATTATTTATACCCTGCCATCATCTCCCCAATGGGGATTCAGAGCGGCTTACATGGGGCCAAGCCCGGACAACATGTTACAGCAAAATAACACTAAAACATAGACAATAAACAACATCATCAACATTACATAGAAACAGAATATATATATATATATAAACAAACACAATAACAAAATAACTTTCCAATAAACACATTCACAATAACAGTGGGCGCATAAGCTATGCTTCTCATTACAAATCGGAACCTTTTAAAAGTATTCCAGATCTCAATATTTCTTTGGTTGCCATTGAACCCCATTGTGGCGGAAGGGGCCAATTTGAAGAAGGGCTAGATATGGTATCATCCCATTCGCTATTCGTATATGTGCGTCGTAAATGGGGTCCCCCGTCGGAGAGTGTCAATTCAGGATGCCGCCGCAAGGGGGCGCTGGAAACTACAAGCCCCAGGGTGCCTTTCGGCGCGCGCCGGAAAGCGAGACGCCTCGGTGTCGCGAGCCTTCCTTCTGAGGCTCCAGCGTCAACGTCCAGATGTTGAGGTGAGCGGCGGTTGATGGCAGCGGATGAAGAGAGCCATCTCTGTGTGGTTTGGGAGCAAAGGCGGGAAACGAGGGAGGAAGAGGCCGTGCCCTGGCTTTCATTCTTACAGGTTGAGTCTCTCTTGGGAGCTGAAGTGTTTTGGATTCCAGATTTATTTTGGAGTTTGGAATCCTTGCTAAATTCACCAGGCCTGGGCCAACTTGGGCCCTCCAGGTGTTTTGGACTTCAACTCCCACAATTCCTAACAGCCGCAGGCTGTTAGGAATTGTGGGAGTTGAAGTCCAAAACACCTGGAGGGCCCAAGTTGGCCCAGGCCTGGAGATACCTTAGAGATGAGACCCAAGTCTACAACTCCCAAACTACAACTTCCAGGATTCCACAGCGTTGAATTGCTAAAGTGGGGTCAAACTGCGTTATTTCTATAGTGTGGATGCACCCTCCATCAAACTGGAGTGTGAAAACAGTGAGGATTCTCATTTCCATATTATAGACTGCATTTACCCTCACAAACGAGGCATTACTCTATATTAATTTTTAGAAGACCAATCATTTCACACACACACACATTCTGTAGCTTTATGCACAATGTTTTTAATAATGTTGTGCAGCTGTGTGAACTGTTCTGTAACATTTTGGATTTCAGAATAAGGTATACTAAATCTGTATTTATTCCATTGTTTTAATCATTATCCTACACATCTCTTGTAAATAATGTGAGAAAAGGATTGACATTACACTAGCCAAACAGCAGCTGTTTAGCAATTTCTTTTGCTTGACTACTTTTAATAGTTCATCCTCTACAACAGGCATGGGCAAACTTGGGCCCTCCAAGTGTTTTGGAGTCCAAAACACATGGAGGGCCCAAGTTAGCTGGTGCCTGCTCTACAACATCAGCCCATACTTAACCATAAGCCCATTTTGAACCGAGATGAAGAGAAATATATATTACTACAAATATATAAAGAACAATCTAAATCTGAATGAACTATCAGAACAGACATAAAGAAAGTCAGTGATCTCACACCATTAGTTTCTGGGTGTACACTTCCAATATCTCACGTCCGAAGCAACTTGCAGTTTCTCAAGTTGCTCCTGACATGAAAAAAAAACCTTCCAATATTAGTTCTATGCTTTCTGTGGCATTTTTACTTGGGCCCCATCTATTCTGCTATATAATGCAGTTTGGAACTGCATTATACACTCACTGTAGAGTCATATAATGCAGTGCAATGCACTTAAGCTCCCTTGTATGAGCCTACACTGATCATAGGTAAAAGTAAAAGTTTAGATTTCCCTGTGGCATTAAGACTAGTCATGTCCAACTCTGGGGGGTGGTGCTCATCTCAATTTCTAAGCTGAAGAGCCAGCATTGTTTGTAGACACCTCCAAGGTCATGTGGCTGGCATGACTGCATGGAGTGCCATTTACCTTCCTGCCGGAGCGGAACCCATTGATCTCATATTTCCGTGTTTTTGAACTGCTAGGCTGGCAGAAGCTGGGGCTAAGAGCGGGAGCTCACCCTGATCCCCGGATTTGAACCGCCGACCTTTTGGTCAGCAAGTTCAGCATCTCCATGGTTGAAGATCATAGACTGCATTAAATGACATTGTAGATGGGGCCTTGGTCTCTTACGCAGAGATTTTACTGCATTGATGTTAAGTGGAGAAAAATGTGTAGAATATGAGTGTATGAGTGCAATTTGAAGTCTGAGACTTGTGAATTGTTTGCTTATGGCCATCAGTTGGTTTAAATTTGCCAAAAAATCAGTTCAAACTACAAGAAAGGAGATTCCATCTGAACATATATGATTCGTTTCAATTGGTGAAACCTGAGGATGTGGACAAGGTGCTGGGAGGGATGAGGGCAACCACATGCATCCTAGACCCCTGCCCATCCTGGCTTCTAAAGGAGGCCAGAGGGGGATTGGCCGAGTGGGTAAAGGTGGTGGTTAATGCCTCCCTTCGGGAAGGCATAATTCCAGCCAGCTTAAAACAAGCTGTAATAAAACCGCTGTTGAAAAAACCATCACTGGACCCCACTCAATTCGTCAACTATCGGCCTGTTTCCAATCTCCCCTTTTTGGGCAAAGTCCTGGAACGTGTGGTGGCCTCACAACTCCAAGCATTCTTGGTAGACACTGATTATCTGGATCCGGCGCAGTCTGGCTTTAGGCCGGGACATGGTACCGAGACAGCCTTGGTCGCCTTAGTGGATGATCTCCGGCGTGAGCTTGACAGGGGGAGTGTGTCTCTGTTGGTTCTGCTGGACCTCTCAGCGGCCTTCGATACCGTCGACCACGGTATCCTTCTGGGGCGCCTCGTGGGAATGGGCTTGGGGGGCACTGTTTTACAGTGGCTCAGGTCCTTCCTAGAGGATCGTACCCAGAAGGTGTTGTTGGGGGACAACTGCTCGTCCTCACAACCATTGACTTGTGGGGTCCCGCAGGGTTCCATCTTGTCCCCCATGTTGTTTAACATCTACATGAAGCCGTTGGGAGAGATCATCCGGAGTTTCGGGGTGCGGTGTTATCTGTACGCAGATGACGTCCAACTCTGTCACTCCTTTCCACCTACTACTAAGGAGGCTGTCCAGGTCCTGAACCGGTGCTTGGCCGCTGTGTCGGACTGGATGAGGGTGAACAAATTGAAACTCAATCCAGACAAGACAGAGGTACTCCTGGTCAGTCGGAAGGCCGAACAGGGTATAGGGTTACAGCCTGTGCTGGACGGGGTCGCACTCCCCCTGAAGGCGCAGGTTCGCAGCTTGGGTGTGACTCTGGATTCTTCGCTAAGCTTGGAACCCCAAGTTTCAGCGGTTTCCAGAGGAGCATTTGCACAGCTTCGGCTCGTGCGCCAGCTGCGCCCGTATCTTGGGAAGTCGGACTTGGCCACGGTAGTCCACGCTCTTGTCACATCCCGCATAGATTACTGCAACGCGCTCTACGTGGGGTTGCCCTTGAAGACTGCCCGGAAGCTCCAGATGGTCCAGCGCTCGGCAGCCAGGTTGCTAACGGGAGCGGCACTCAGGGAGCACACCACTCCTCTGTTGAGCCAGCTCCACTGGCTGCCAATTTGCTACCGGGCACAATTCAAGGTGCTGGCTTTAGCCTATAAAGCCCTACACGGTTCCGGCCCCACTTACCTCTCCGAACGCATCTCCACCTATGAACCGGCTAGGACGTTAAGATCGTCCGGGGAGGCCCTGCTCTCGGTCCCGCCAGCATCGCAAGTGCGGTTGGCGGGGACGAGAGACAGGGCCTTCTCGGTGGTGGCCCCTCGGCTATGGAATGCCCTACCAGCGGACATCAGGCAGGCCCCTTCGTTACTGGCGTTTCGGAGGAGGGTGAAGACATGGCTCTTTGAACAGGCGTTCAGTTAATCATGCAATCATAACTAACTCAGGAAGACGGCATACTGAACAAGGAATGGTAGAATGACTGTGAGAACGGGATCTGATTCTATTTGAGGCGTTGATGACTATATGTGTGTTGTCTGTGATTGTCTGTTTATATATTGTCAGTGTTTTATATTTTACTGTAAACCGCATTGAGTCGCCGTAAGGCTGATAAATGCGGTATACAAAAGGAGTAAATAAATAATAATAAATAAACATTAGGAAGAACTTCCTTACTGTGAGAGCTGTTCAGCAGTGGAACTCTCTGCCCCGGAGTGTGGTGGAGGCTCCTTCTTTGGAGGCTTTTAAACAGAGGGTAGATGGCCATCTGTCACAGACGATTTGAATGCAATTTTCTGCTTTTTGGCAGGGGGTTAGACTGGATGGCCCATGAGGTCTCTTACAACTTTATTATTCTATGATTTTAATTGTCAAAATTCTCATTTGGCTTCTGTAGCATTGGATTTTATATACGTGATTATTCATATGAACAGAACAAACAGAAGTAATAATCAACTTAGAAATGAAATTCAGTCTTCTCTACCTGAATGTTTCTAAACTAGGGGCTGGAACAGGTTAAATAAAAATGACCATAAGAGCACAGTAGGCAAATGGTAAGAGATTTGAAAAGGCTTTGGCTTTGAAAAAAATGCCGTGAAGGTTAACATAAGCTTTGAATTATTTGTTTTTCAACAGGAGATTCAGAGAAAGCGGTGATGCATTTCCAGTCTCCTGATTTCCTCTTGCTGCTTTTGCAATGATCAAATGTCTGCCTGAAGAAGTACAAGCCACTTTGCGGTCTGGAGTGGCCATCAGCTCCTTGGGCCAGTGTGCTGAGGAGCTTGTCCTCAACAGCATAGATGCTAAAGCTACCTGTGTGGCTGTTAGAGTTGACTTGGACACCTTTAAGGTGCAGGTGGTGGATAATGGCTGTGGTATGGGAAGAGAAGATATCAGCAAGATCGGCAATAGATATTTTACTAGTAAATGCAGTTCATTGGAGGACTTGGAAAATTTACGTTTTTATGGTTTCCGTGGAGAAGCTTTGGCAAGCATTGCAAACATAGCCAGCATCCTGGAAATATCATCCAAAACGAGAAAAACAGCAATGAGTTTCTTGAAAATGTTTCACAATGGAAAAGGACTTGAAGTCTCTGAAACTGAAATGAATAGACCATGTGCTGGAACTACTGTGACAGTGTACAACTTATTCTATAACTTACCTGTGCGGAAAAAGTGCATGAACTCCATTCTGGAACTGGAGAGAATGAGGCATAAAATAGAGGCTATTTCGCTCATTCATCCTTCTATCTCCTTTTCTTTAAGGAATGATACTACCTGTTCCATGGTGCTACAGCTGTCCAAGACAAAAGATTTGTGCTCCCGATTTTCTCAGATTTATAGTCTAAGCAAATCACAGAAATTGCGAGAAGTTAAATATAAATCTAGAGGATTTGAAATCGGTGGTTTTATCAGTACTGAAGGGCATTACAATAAAAATATTCAGTTTTTATATGTAAATAATAGATTGATATTAAAAACAAGGCTGCATAAACTTATTGATTTTTTACTAAGAAAACAGAGTATTATATGTAAGACAAAAAATGGATCATTGACGTCAAGTCCTGCTCGTCACCGATCTGGCTCAGAAGCCTATGGAGTCTTTGTTATCAATGTGAAGTGTCAGTATGATGAATACGATGTGTGTTTGGAACCTGCAAAATCTCTAATAGAGTTTCGCAATTGGACAGCTCTCCTAACTTGCGTTGAGGAAGGAATAAAAGCATTCTTGAAGCGAGAACATCTATATATTGAGCCATCGGGTGAAGACATTAAAGAGTTTAATGAAAACAGTGGATTTTGTTTGATAAACACTTTAGCTTTACAGAGTTTACAGACATCTATCCCAGAGGAGAACAGGCAGGAGAGTTTTAAGAGAGCCTGTGATAATATTGTGGATTCTTATGAAATGTTTAATCTGCAATCAAAATCTGTCAAAAGGAAAATAGCTCTTCCAAAGAAAGCATCAGATCACACAGAATCTGTTCGCAATGTGGAGGGAGTAGATATTTGTCCAGATTTAACTGTTAGCAATGAACCTATTCTTGAACTTGGAAGAGGTAAAGTAGACAATATTTTGACCAATAAAAATGAAACCATAACAGATCTCTCTGAATTGAATAACCGACAGGAAGAGTCAGGCAGGTCTGTTGAACCACAGATTGAAATAAATAGTTTCAGGTCTCCAGAAGAAGATAGTAGGCAGGATAGATCAGTTGTGTTAGAAACAGACAAGCATGCCAGTACCTCACTTTGCACTGAAAAATCTGGTAGAGATATAAGTGATCAACAAAATAAAGTATTTCAGAGAAATGAGCTGAACTCTCCCATAGTAGAACATGTAAAAATGGTGGGAGATGTTAATGAGTTTATTTTGGAATGTGGTACGAAAGAAAAATATCAGACAGTGAAAGAGGGCAGAGAACTTTATAGAGGATCCAATACTAATAGAGTAGAGGTAATGGAAAGGAGGCCGATGAAGCTGTGTTCCACGGGCCTTGTAACACACTTGGTACAAAATAAAAAAATGCATAACTCAGTGGAAAGAAGCAATCCTTTAAGCAGACAATCTAAATTAAGGCCAATAAGTGCCAAGGATATATTTGAAAATAGACTGGGATTTTTAGGACAAATTCCTGACAGTCAAGAATGTTTAAAGGTAACAAATACAATAAACCCCACAGAAAGTACTAATGCATGCACATCAGAGCAAAAGAATAAGGTATCTTCAATCCATGTAGGTGAGAGTATAGACTTTGGGACATCATACAATGAAGAATTTAGTTCTGTGGGTTCTTCAAGTTCAGTTCGTCTATCTAGTACAACTAAGCATAGGCAGATGAGCGAACATTCACTTAAGCCTAGATCCTGTGGTTTTACAAAATTAAGCTTGCATCGAAAGCTGGGTTCATTGGATAGATTTAGGAGACATTATGGAAATATAAAGAGTACACCACCAATACCTGATGTGGAAAAGAGGAATGGGGATGAGGCACCAGTCTGTAGCAGGTCTGTTCATGATGAGAGTACAGATAGTCAAAATTTCAGCATTTGTGAAGGTCCTAACAAGAAAGCTTTGTCCAGTAATAGTGTCCGTGATTGCCTGCTTTCTTTTAAGATGTCTCAACATTGCATGGGAAAAAATATATTAGGTGAAAAAGCTTTAAATGAAGGTTCTGTAAAACGGACGGATTCCTTGCAAATCGGAAAGAAAAATATTTCTGACACTCCTGTAACAGGAACACTTTCTTTTAAATTATCACAAATGAAGAAAAGTCTTAAAAGGCCCATGGGGTCACTTTTAGAACTATCTGAAGCATACTCAACCCAAAATGATGAAGACAGATGGAAACTGTCAATGCAAAATAATGTTTTGCAGCAAGTTTGTCAAATTCCTCAGTTTTCCCTAGAAGAACAGACAGAGAGTTCCTCTTTTGCCTCAAATTCTGATGCACAAGTTAATGTCATGGAAAGCCCAAGTAGAAGATCAGAGGATGCTGAAGATACTGTGGGACGTAATTTCATTGACACCGATGGAGAATATATAGTTTCACCAAACAGAAGTTTAACTGTTACTAATATAGAGATGGATTCTGAAGCTCCTCATGAAGATAAAAGTATTATGAATGAATCTACAAACCAAGCGGTGGAATCGTGTGTGACTGTGTCCAGGAACTTAGAAAATGCCATAGATGATCCAAATGTAGAAGATAGTAAGGCACCACAAGCACATCAGTCTGAGTGGTTGAACCAGTTTGATGTGTCATTGGGCAAGACAGTATACATCAACCCAGTGACTGGACTGAGCACCTATAATGCTCCTCCCAATGGGGACTCTCAAGCTGTCTGTGCCAAGGATATAAGCACAATGGCTATAAATGTCATTGAGAATAATGGTAAGTGTACTATGTAATTTTGACTATGTAAAAATTACTTATTGTACGGATGAGCTAATTGGGTCCTTGATATATTCATATTCATGTATATGTGTGTGTGTGTATGTATGAAACATTTAGATATATATGAAATATTTCATATATGTAGATAATCTTAGTTATGTCAATATTTTCTGCAATCTTCATATAATTAGCATTGCTAAATGAATTTTCAGGATTTAAAAAAAACTTTTTTTATTTAAAAAGCTTGATGCAGTCATTTTTCAGTAGGCATGAGCAGTCTGAAGATGGTCCTGGGTTTATGTTATATTCTGGTTTTAAGATTAAAAAAAGAACCAGCAGTCAGCATCTGAATCATTCCTGTTGCAATAATAATAAAATATTGTAGAACCTTAGTATTGATCCAGTGGACATCCAATGTATCTTCAATAGTTTATTGTTGAAGGCTTTCATGGCTGAAATCCTTCAGGAGAGAATGCTTCTAGAACATGACCACACAGCTCAAAAAAAATACAACAACCCAGTATCCTCAATAACATTGTAGTTAAGGTCTCTTTAAAAGTGTAATCAATCCAAATAGAATAAACATGGAAAAATTCAGTCTCCTACAATGCTTCTCGAGTGTTTTGATCAAAGTTTACTTCTCAACTTAAGCTACAATCTCAGTTGGCTGACCCACTGCTTAGTTTGTTGGTAGACTCCTGTGAGACATTTTTATAAAAAGCTGCATTTTCACAACCTATAGGATAGTAACCCAACTATAGCATTAGAATACTGAAATGGGGCATTTGTAACTCCTTACACCAATCAGGCAGAGAAAGACAAATGAAGAACATGTTTCCACTAGACTTCTGCTTCTGGGAAGCTCTGCCTGCTGTGACATAGTCTTTTGCTCTTATTTTAAAGTGTCTTGTGCCCCCTTACTCCCAATGGGTTGCCCTACATTTAGGGAATTACTGTCCTATTCTATTGATATAGTTAATATGCAGGCCTCCTTATTGATACCTATTTGATAATTCTTATAACATTGCTTACTTCTTTCTGTGTTTTATGATACTGAAATTTTATACTTCATCTGATGGTGCTACTCATCCTTTGGGCCTACAACCATTTTTTGTAGAAATTTGATTGTAGGAAATTTTACAGAAGTAATTCTTTTCTTGAGTGTTTAGGGTTTCAGTGCAGATGTCACCCCTTTAGAAGTGAGCTTGTTATGCCCTTCCTTCCAAGACCTCAGAATGAGAGGAGTTTTGCAAGCCAAGATTTCAGAGGTAGGTCTAGTTTGCCAGGACATAGAGTACTATGTTGACTAATAACAAACCAAAGAATGATCCGTGCTGTTCCAATAGGAACTGGGAATGATTCAAGGTTTGTTAAAAATGAGACATGAATAAATCACTTGATGTGTGGAAATGGAAATCATTATTGTGGGATCAAAGTCAATTACAGTGTGGCTGCAGATAGTTCGAAGTGCCTAGTTTTGTCTAAATAACATTAGTGGTTTGGTGAAACAATATGGTATTTAATTTCCCTCAATGGCACCAGATTTAATTTTTCGAAATCTTGAACTAGTGTTCAGGCAAGTGTGTTTCTCTAGTGGGAACACAATTGACTTGAAGCTTTCTTTAATTTTTAAATCATGATAGATTGCTGTATAGCAGTGGTTACCAACCTTTTTTTATTTACAAGGGACCACTTGACCCAGGACCACTCTCCAACATTAGTACCAAAAGGGTTACGAAACAGCTTTTGATCAACTTTAGATTCAGTTTGGTTATTTGGGATGCTGATTCAGAAATTGCATCGAATAGACCACATCAACTCTAGTTTCTGATACAGTACATATGCCATCCAATAGTCGCTATCTGCTCACCCACAGAAAGCCATATTTAATAATCATATTTAATAATCTGATGTTGTCTATCCAATGCAATTTTCTGAATCAACACTCCAAATAACCCCAGGAACATTCCTAAAAACAAAGACACCAAGAATTTTTTTGTTTGGTTGGGCTATGTTATTATCCGTGGATTTTCTTAACGCTCATGTAAAAAAAAGGGGGGGGGGGGGCTGAGGTTGAAATAAATACAAAAAGCAGAGCAGAAGAAACTGTCCCTAATGGCTTTTGCTTGCCTCCTTGCCATGGGCGCATGGCCACAGGGAAGGGGGTGTATTCCGTGAGGTGTTGCAACAGTGTAGTAACAGTGCGAACCACTGGTGATCCATGGACCACAGGTTGGGAACCAGTGCTGTACAGGAACTCACAGGATAAACTATTAAACTATCCTCTTGAGTTAAATACTGCTTTGTTTCCTTTTCTGCAAATTATTTTCAAATATCTAAGCCTTTGTACTTGTCGTGCAACAAAATCTGATACTGCGTTTCATGCTGGACAGTTTGTGCACTTTTTCCTAATGAGAGAGTTTATCTTGCGGGATAGGAAAAATAGCAAATATGAAATGTTCTTTTTAGTGCATGAATGAGATAGGACAGTGACATAATGAAAACTTAATATGGAACTGCTCGTCAATTCATGATTGTACATACTTTCTGTTATAGATACTCCTGGAGAATCTCTTCAGTCCCTGTTTTCAGAATGGGATAATCCTGTGTTTGCTCACTGTCCAGAGGTGAGTGGTAGAATGTGGCTTTTACCAGTATTTGGGGTGAATTGTTCAGTTTTAAGACACATTGTGATTTTTGGATGGAGGGTGCATCTGCATTGTAGAATTAATGCTGTTTAACATCACATTCACTGCTGTGGCTCAGTGGGAGTTATAATTTTATTAAGTCCTTAGCCTTCTCTGTCAAAGAGTGTGTCACCAAGGTAGAAATACCAGGATTCTAAAGCATTACCCTGACACAGGGAAAATATTTCATTAACTTAATGTATTGTGTGGATTCCCAGTGACTTGTTCACTAGTACTTTTTTTTACTGTCTGAGTTGGATTGCATGGGAAATATTCGTGCTGGTGCTATTTGAAATGGTCTTTAATCTCCATTGGGAATTTTGAAAAAATAAAATTGAGGACATGATTTTGTGGTCTGGCATTTGAGCATCCTTACACATTATTTGTGATTGTTTGTATTGTAGCTAGCTGTTAATGTGAGCAGTGGAGAGGCTGATAATCTTATTGTGAAAATTCATAACATCATGTATCCTTATCGGTTCACCAAGAAGATGATTGATTCAATGCAGGTAAACTTGCTAACATTAGATTAATGGCAGCATTGCAACTATCACTTGGAAAAATTAAAACTGTCGACTTGGGCACAAAGTGAAGTAATTAATAGCTATTATTAGCAAATAATGGGTCTTTTAAAGAAAGAGCTATACAAAACAGTAGATTGTGGGAGACGCAATAGCACTTACGCTTCCTTAACATACAGGTTTTGGAGCTGTCTTATAAATGCTTTATTTTGGGTGGAGGAAGTTAAGCAAATAAACTTGGTATTGGAAAGTTCATTAATCTTTAAGGATGTCTTTTAAAAAATATTTACTTGCATCTTGGAAATAATAAGTGGCCAATATAAGTGGATGTTCCATGCCCTTTTGATTGCAAAATTATTGATGCTTCAATACTGGAAATATACCTTTCCTTTACCTGTGAACTAGTGCAACATTTGAAAAAATAACATACAAACAAAATCAACAAATGGCAATATACTTAGACATTTAGTCAGCCTTTGTAGAAAGGAGTAATGAGGTTGTCTTTCTCACTTCTGTTTTATTTTTCTGCTTTTATTATAGTGAAACTGAGGGAAATTTAAAAAATGTACATTAACATGTGTTGGGGGAATTAGTGAACTTGGTGAAATCTTCAGCCTTTTTATTTTATCACTGTGCAATTAATATGGAATTGCATTAATTTTCTAAAACATTTTCACAACTGAATCTGCTACAGGTTCTTAATCAAGTGGACAATAAATTTATTGCTTGTTTAATCAACACAGATGAACACAAAGAGGCAGGTAAGAATACTGTCTGCTTCACCTAATAGGTTTTCAAACTCTTTGTGCAACTTTTTGACTGTAGGAGGGGATACAGGTTAAGCATCTTTTGTCTAAATGTCTCCAAAACCTGAAACTGTACACATGAGTGACTAAGATAGTGGCACCTTTGTTTTCTGACAGCAACGTTGTCTTAATAAATTCATGTACAAAATTATTTAAATAACTGCATGCACAAAAATATTCAAAACCTTGTACAATTGCCTTTAGGCTGTGGGTACTAGGTATATATGAAGCAGAAGTGAACATGAGACATGAGAGAAGCCTCCCACAAGGATGGTAAAACATCAAAAACATCCGGGCGTTCCCTGTGCAGCATCCTTGCAGACGGCCGATTCTCTCAGTCTCTCAAGTCATTCCTGACACGAAAAAAATGAATTGCATGTTTAGACTCTCAACTCATTATATATGCATATGTAAATAATCCAAAAGCCAAAACACTTCTTGTCCCAATCATTTCAGATAAGGGGTATTCAACCTGTAATAACATAACGACCACTATATTGAATTAGACTAGTGTTCCTTTTAATGTTTGGGCAATTTTAGCTAGTCTTTTATTATACTTATACCAATAATATATCTCTAGATGGGGTATAACAGTCTTCATTCCATGACTCAGCTGAAGAGGGCTGACATAATGTAGTGAATGATGCATTGGAATTAGAGACTTTGGATCTAAGTGTCCACATGGATAACCATGGATTGCTGTCTTACATCCTACTTCGTTTCACAATGTAAGACACAATTTAATTTAAATTTAATATGCGTCAAGAGTGGTGATACTGCTTATGGTGGTGATTATTATGATAATAATGATAGTGGTGGAGAAGATATTAGTCTTTGGTTTATTTTGTTTTACAGCTCTGCATGGAAACCTTCTTGTGCTGGTGGATCAGCATGCCGCACATGAGCGTGTCCGCCTTGAGCAACTAATCACAGGTGATTAACAAAATGGCTTAATAATAATAATAATAATAATAATGAAAATGTACAATTTGTTTATTTATTTATTTGCAGTTCTTATATTCCGCCCTTCTCACCCCGCAGGGGACTCAGGGCGGATTACAGTAAACACATATATGGCAAACATTCAATGCCAGTTTGACAAACAACGTTTAACAGACAAATACACCGAGGCTATTTAACTTTTTTTTCTGGCCGCCAGGGGAGCTGCTGCTTTTCATTGTCCATCAACGACACCGATGAAGTTCTTCCGCATTCCACATTCCCCGGAGTCTTTTTTCTTTATGGCCTCATAAATTAGTTAAATTTAGCCTCCCACACAAGGTGGTACCTTATTTTCCTACTTGACAGATGCAACTGTCTTTCGGGTTGCAAAGGTCGACAATGGGCTACACAATGGCTGGACACCCACTCCAGCCCGGGCTGGCTTCGAACTCATGACCTTTTGGTCAGAGTGATCTTAATGCAGCTGACACTCAGCCAGCTGCGCCACAATCCCGGTGTACAAATTCTATCTACATCACAACAAATTTGACAAATTATCTATAGAGGATAAAAAGATGGCATTCTTTTCACCATGTTCATCGAGAACTAATATCCTTAACAATAGTGATTATTGTATAGGCTTTTTCTGCATTTTTCCCTTTTCTTTTCATCCCTTCCTAGCAGAATATAATTCATTTCCACTCTGTCAAGCAAAGGGTGTATTTTTTCATATCTTAAGGTCATATCAGTTCATTGACCTCCCTGTCAACAAGTGCTGTGAATTTCCTACATAGTGGAATCCAAGAGAAACTTTTCTGGTCATAGACTGGCACTGAACATTCCTCAAGAATGTGAAAAGTCCTCTGGGAAAATGGGAAGTGTTTGTTAAAGGGTTTAAACAGAGCCATTATTCCTGTAATAGTTTCCTCTGCTATGTTGTTGATGGAAATTGTTGCCTGTTAGGATTATTGCCCATGATTGAAACTGGTCCAGAATCTTGGTCTGGCATTAGCAAGCGTGTCTTTAAAGACCGAGGATATGTTTGCTTGAACAGTATATGTTTCTTCTCATCTACTGGAGAACAGAATATGGTATGTCAATTCTTAGTAGATACATTCAACATGCCAAGTCAAAAAGCTATTGGATCAGACAATAAGAACAAATTCAAGTTGCTTACCTGTAACTGTGTTTCCTCGAGTGATAGTCTGTTTCCTATTTATGTTAATAAACAATTATTTTGTTACTCTACGATCAGATTCCTATGAGAAGCAGTCTGAAACATTGGGCAGGAAGAAATTGTTAGCATCCACTGTATGTCCCCCCATGGAGATTGAGATCACAGAGGATCAGCGGAGACTCTTGAGGTTTGTATTAACTACCTTGCCAATATGAGAATGAGAGCATTTCCAGGCTAGACTTTAATTGTTATTGAACTGAATGGATTTTATTTCAATGTAAACTACAATTCTGTATATAGGGTAAGGTTTCAACAAATTTGATTAGATTTCCTTCAGTAGAGATCTGTACAATTACACTGTAAGAGGCTAAAGGAACTAATATTTGCAAAAGAGTTGGATTTGCCTAATCTATCAAAAATAATTTCTGATGCTTAAAAGAATGTTGGAAAAAACAGGAAGAATTCCCTGGGCCTATTGAAGACTTGTTACAAAAACACAAAATTCAAGTGATATAGAGTTTGGAGTATTTATATTCTAACTTTCAGTCACAAAAAGGTCTTGGAGTGGCTTACACTTGTATTAACAGTGCCCTGGTTTCAAGTTTACAATCTAAATAACAGAGTACACAAGGTTAGGATGAAAGACCTTTTATCTGCTTCTCTGGGCCTAGGCAGGTTGGAGCTGTGTCCTACTTGCCTTCTCTTCTTCTGAGGCCAAGGCAGTGGCGTAGGCAGCTGAAATAGCCTTTCATCCGCTTCTGGGCCTTGGCATGATGGAACTGAACCTACTTCTCCATCCAGAAAGTTCAGGTTCAAATGACTGAGAATATAGTTAAAAGAGTAGTACATCAATGAAAAATGTAATACATTATTTAAAGATTTCAGGAACAGGTTTGGCATGTGCCTATGCTTGCTATTCTGTATCCCTTTCTTCTACAAAACTAGGGAAACCAAAGTTTGGTAATAATAATGTGTTCTTACATTGGCACTGTAGAACAAGTAGGCACATTATTTCATAGCTGGGACTCTGTTTGCACTATCCTATGCCCGGCCCTTTTTATAGCCTGGTCATGCCCACTGTATTACTGGTTATTGGTTTTTGTTGAGTATTGTTTTGATTGAGTTTCAATGCTGCTGTTTTATATTCTAATTTTTTATTTAATTTGGTTTTTATCTGAATTGTTATATTTTACTATGCTCTTATTTTAATTGTGTTTTGCCTTAATGGATTGTTTTGTATTGTGGGCCTTTTGTTTCATATGTAAGCTGCCCTGAGTCCTTTTGGGGAGATGGTGGCAGGATGTAAAAATAAAGTTGTTGTTGCTGCTGCTGTTGTTGTTGTTGTTGTTATTGCTCAACAGAATAGTTAAAATGATTGTGTTTCAGTAATATTGTTTACCAATAGGTTTATTTGCTTTGTATCAGTAAGTCTTAATTTTATTACATATCATAATAGAATTATAATGAAAACTGACAAGAAGCAGCATACATTACCCACTAAGTCTATGCACTTAATTATGTTTTTATTTAGGCCTGCCAAATTTATAGGAAGTAAGCAACATTGCTTACTGTATGATTTGTTTTAAACATGTAAATTTGCTTCCAAAAATTAATCAAAATTGATACTTGGATTTTGATTCCCAGGTGCTGCCACAAAAGTCTGGAGGACTTAGGTCTTGAATTATTTTTTCCGGAGAACCAGCCCTCTCAGATTCTTGTTGGGAAAGTGCCACTGTGTTTTGTGGAAAGAGAGGCCAATGAATTGCGCCGTGGAAGGCAGACAGTGGCTAAGAGCATTGTGCAGGTGAGATGAAGTGGCAGGTCATTTCTTATGTCTACCCTGAATCCGATGAACAGCAAGTAATTTAGAGGTGTTATGTGCATTACGCTTTTTTGTCTTCCTGTTTAGCAGTTCAGAAGTCAATATGTTTTGGTAAAATTCTCATCTGTAAACATTTTGCTTCAGACAAATGCTAGGGACCAGCAGTGGCATAATCTGTGTATAACCTGAGGAAATCAGATGTCTTTCTTCATTTTATCTGAGTGCTAAACAATTGCTACATAAATGCACCCCAAGTTGTTTTAAATTCAGAATTGCTTCTTGAATTAAAACTTGAATTTATGTGAATTTTATACAACTCTCAACAAAGTTAAAAAGAAAAAAAAATCAGAAGTTTCTCTTGTACTGGAAGTCTGTCAACATATAGGGGAATTCCTAGGGCCCTTCCAGACAACCCTATATCCCAGAATATCAAGGCAGGAAATCCCACATTATCTGAGTGTGGATTCAGATAAGCCAGTACAAAGCAGATATTGTGGGATTTTCTGCCTTGATATTCTGGGATGTGTGGAAGGCCCTTAGTTTCATTTGGATATTTTCCTCTTAGACCTTTGATACATTTTAGATTAGTACTCTGTTTAAATTTTGACTCAGCTCATGGAGGCTTACCTGTGTCCAGATGGCCTATTGTTATCTGTATGATTTGTTTTAAATGTTTTAATTACCTCTGACCATTATTAGTCATTAGAAAAATGTGTCCCAATTATTTTACTTTGTATGTTTAAATTTCACACTGGTTATTGAGTGGGTTTTATAAGTATATCCTGATGCTGTCTATTTAATTGTTTAATATTTGAAGTGCTTTATTATGTTATGTTTCTCAGGCATGGAATGTTTGTCGATCTTTTGTTGTATACCGCCCTGAGTCCCTTTTGGGAGATAGGGCAGTATGAAGTTTTAAAAATTATTATTATTTTATTTACTAGTCTGGAGGTGGCATATACAGATATGATGACCCCTTTGTTACTAAATGTTCATCGCAATTTTGAAGAACAAGACATTTTGTTGTGAAAGTAATATAAAAGCCAGTTTTTATTTTACTGATTTGTATCTCTTTGCACTTTCAGGAATTCATTCAAGAGCAAGCTGAGGTATGTCCTCATTCTGTGTCTGTGTGTGAAGAGCTGCAAATTAGAGATGATTTATATATCATCCACTAGAGATAAAATATGAATATTCTTTTTAGAATTTTGAATTTTGAGCAGACTTATCTAAACAGTGGTCAGAACAGGTAGAAGAGAACAAAGAGCCACTCAAAAGTAGCTTAACCAGTAGACTGTTTATTCTGGCCACTGATACTTATTCGAGTATCTGTATATTTAAAGCAGTTGGTATAAGGTAAGGGAATAAATAGGCCATATTGTGGTTAGCGTGAATTAATATTGCATTATAACGTTGCAAATAAAAGAGGCGTTTAGAAGGGCAATAAGAAAAAATTATTATATGTGAATCAGTCTACAAAGGAGAAGAAACCAGTAACAGAATTTTGAGGGTGAATGTGGGCTGTGAGGCAAGCTCCCTGTTGAGCATTTAATCAGCAGCTCTTTGTTCTTGTTAACTGCTGGCAAGTCTTTGACATGAATTATTATTATATGTGAATCAGTCTTAGGGCCCATACATCTGAATAAAATCCCATGTTATCTGCTTTGAACTGGGATATATGGCAGTGTGAACTCAGATATTCCAGTTCAAAGCAAATATTGTGTGTTATTCTATCTTGATATTCTGGGTTATAATGGCTGTGTGGAAAGGTCCTTAGTCATCAACAGTCCTGTTCAGATCTTTTAAACTCAGAGCCATAGTTTTCTTGATTGAGTCTATTTTTCTGGAATGTAGCTTCTCTTTTTTCCCCACTGTCTCCTTTACCAAGCAGTATTCCTTACCATCTCCCTTACTAAGTATTACTGTCTTTCAATCACAGGCAAGATTTTCTCAGGGGAGATTTGCCACCTTCTCAGACTAAGAAACGATGACTTGCATAAGGTTACCCAGTGGGTTTCTGTGGGTAGCTCTTCATTATCTCAAATGGATGTGGCTTTTCATTTTAAATCTTTTTTAGAAAGTCAAACCATGTCCTTGTACTACTTTCAGCTATTGCGAACAACAGGAGGAGCACAGGGCACATCGCCACTGACAGTTTTGAAGGTGCTTGCATCCCAGGCTTGCCATGGTAAGGGAAATATTGCATTCTACAATTTAGTTGTTTCACAGCATGTCAAAAAGCCAAGAGACATTTAATCATAAGAAAACTTGAAGCCATAATCCTTTTGTTTAAAAGTATGAGGTGAAAGGTTACTTCTTTTGTTGTGTTTTGAGTATGTGGTGTTTATGACATTTTTCAAAAGCAACTTTGATTGAGAAACAATGATATTAGTATTAATTAGTATTTTATATACATATTGATATCCCACCTTTCCCCAGTGGCATGTAGACATTAAACCAGATACAGATAAAATGTATTGGTAGAAATGTATTAAAAGACATATTTCAAACACATCTATTCAAAAGATAACAAATACTATTGAAAGTTAGGGTTTTTTGAAAAAAAGAAACCCCTCCCTTGCCAAAAGTATGTAGGAATAAAATCTTCACCTGAGCAAGGGAGTTTCAGAGGGTTGGAGCAGCCACCAAAAAGCCATCTTCCATGTTTGCTATCTGTTATTGCCTTTGAGAGTGGCAGTGCTGACAGACAGGCAGAAAGGCCTGTCTTCAAAATCTCAAAACTCAGTCGGAGAATAGGTACTTTCGGATAGCTTGGGATTGCCTTGTGGAGAAATTCACAATAAAATGTAATAAAATCTAGCTACAAATACTTTTTGTCAGCAATCCAATTTGTATTAACAGTAATCATTACCCATCATTCAGTCATTTACCATTTATGAGTTGGTCTCTTTTTAAAATGTGTAACAGGTGGTGTGGTTGATCTAGGCCAGTGGTTCTCAACCTGTGGGTCCCCAGGTGTTTTGGTCTGCAACTCCCAGAAATCCCAGCCAGTTTACCAGCTGTTTGGATTTCTGGGAGTTGAAGGCTAAAAATTTGGGGACCCACAGGTTGAGAACCACTGCTCTAGTAAAATACAAATGAATACAGTGACTTGTTAATGGGTTCCCCTATCTGTTATACAGATTCAGAGTTAAGAAGAAGCTGTGTCTCTCAAAGAGCTGAGTCTTTCATTGTCTTTTCTCTTTTCAGGTGCTATTAAGTTCAATGACAACTTGACTTTTAAGGATTGCTGCTGTCTTATTAAGTCTTTGTCTTGCTGTCATTTACCCTTCCAATGTGCTCATGGCAGACCATCAATGCTGCCTCTTGCAGATGTAGATCATCTCCACCAGGAAAGCCAGGTAAACCACTGTGAATCTTGCTCAGGCATAACCTGTTTTCTCCATCACAGATTTTATCTATTATCGAAGTTGACTTTTGGAGATATATGGGACATATATACTGAAAACTGTTGTATTAATGACTATCTGTAGAATACAATTATCTGTAGAATAGTGGTGAAACAGGTGCAGTAATGGGGCTGATTCTTTTTCTAAATTTATTAATTTATATATACTTATGCACAATCACTTAGAATTTTGGATGGTGAACAAAGATTGCATAATAAAATAATCTGGGTTGTCAAAGGCTTTCAAGGCCAGAATCACTGGGTTGCTGTGAGTTTTCCAGGCTGTATGGCCATGTTCCAGAAGCATTCTGTCCTGACGTTTCATCCTCACAACCTCTTAGGATGCCTGCCATCGATGTGGGTGAAACGTCCGGACAGAATGCCATACAGAATGCTATACAGCCCGGAAAACTTGCAGCAACCCGAAATCATCTGAGGTTTCAGTTTAATCAGAACTATTGAGTATCATTGTAGACTTGTACACAACTTAGGTGCATCTGAAATTCTGTGCAAAGGATTTTTTATGGATGCACTTGTGACCATTTCTAAATTAGTATAATTTAGAACTTAGGGATCTTCAATTCTAAATTAGTATAATTTAGAAATGAGTATAATAAGGTGACCAAAATAATGTATTGTGGTTTGTGTGTGTGTGTCCGCATGCACACACACACGTATATACAGATACTATTCCTTTGCATAAAGTTAGTAGTAGAAGTTTATGGGCACGATGACTGGATTGTAGGTGCCTCCTGGTCATGAATATTTTCTTTCATCCAGCCTAAACCTAACCTGGCCAAACTAAGAAGAATGGCTAAAGCCTGGCAACTTTTTGGAAAAGAAAACAGTTCTGAGAAAACATGAGCCAGATCTAACTTCATTTAACACTGGTGTCACCAAACTGGCTGTGTTTGTACTAAGCACCAATGTCTTTGGCAAGTCAAGCAGCATGAGGAACTTAAGCATTTGGAAAGCAGCAGAGGTCAGTGTTTCTCCAATTCTTGAAAGAGTCTTGAGTAGAATCAAAATCTCAGGACTGTTCTCCTAAAGAAATTTGAAAAGATTCAACCTGCACTAGAACTGTATTTGCTTTTGAAAAACTGTTATTAGCACTCTCTCCTATTGTACTTGAAACTGGAATAAGCAGCAACTATAGATAAATTGATTTCACATAAAGTTAACAGTTGATCAGTAATGTAACTTCACTCAGATTATTTGAGTGCTTATTCTTAAATCAGTATGAGGCATGGATTATATTTAGATGCTGATTAGTATCTGGGAAACTTAAGCACAGCTTCTAATTGAATTGGTATAAAAAGTCAAAAGGATCTTCAATCTGAATGCTTATTCAATGCTGCCATCTTGTAGTATGTATTTTCTTACCTTGCCTGAAAGTATAAAGTAACCTCAACTGTTACTGCAAGCAAAATAACATTTGATGGTACTTTATATTTCCAGGCAATATTCCAATTTCCATGTTACATGTTGGGCTTAAACAGCTAACCCCTAGGTTTCTTGACTTATCACTTGCTTCTGTAAGCACAGCAAAAGAATCAAAGAACTGTGTCCCTACAATGAATTTGCTATATGAATTCAAGAAAATTTTTCTACATTTAGGCTATTACTAAATTATGGCCTCTGTAGGATGTTAATCTGATGCTGCTTGGCTAGAACATACTCAGGAATAACTTATTCTATTTAATTCAGTTGACAGAACACAGTGAGACCTTTAAAAATAAACATGGGTCAAAGCAATATTTTTCAAATATAATAATAACATGTTTCTTCAGTCTGATGTTTTATTTACTTGTTGGTTCTTCCTGGGTAACCAAGTATTCTGCAATATAAATTATGTCTGTAATTCAAAGTTCTCGATCATCTGGATGATAGAGTTCACTCATGAGACGGTAGATGTAGGAAGGAGCGTTGCCGCCAATGTTTGAAATAAAAAGAGTGATAAGTTCTGGAGGAACGTAGTCAAAGACAGGACAGTAGACATTGACCTTAGACAGAATCTCCCCTGAAAGAAAAACATAGACAGAATTGAGAATTAAGTTGGAGAAGAAAAAACAGTTTTGCTTTATGCAAAGTAAAGCAGAGCTAAAGAAGTTAGTTGTTGTTGGATACCACTGAAATCAGTGTGAACATACAACCATAAGTAAGTGAAGTAGGAATAAGTTTCACTTATGTAAATTCAACTCCTCAGAGCCAACAGTTAGGAAGGATTTGGGGTTGTTTATTAGAAGATTTGAATCTCACTGTATAGGCATAAAGACTTCACTTTATGCTTCATAGGCATAAAGACTTTCAGGGCACTTCACATATCAAGAAAAATATTACTGCCTTCAGGATTATTATCTTTAAAAATACACTGTCCAAAAAGAGAAATGGGTGGGAAGGAAAAAGAAAACAAAATTCAAGTCCAAGTCCTTGAGGTTTGTCTAGTTACATGGCTGTTGTTGATATAGAAGTGCCAAATTAACTCTCCAATACAGAAGGAGTTTGCAGTAGAATTATAAACATACTTATATAAAGGAAAAATCCAATAAGAATTATATGGTGCTGATTCAGCACCAGACTAAGTATTACATGTAGTTTAACAGTTTTAAAAGTGCATAATTTCAAGTGCAGAGATTCTCTTACATTTGATTCATATGAAAAAAAGATATCGAAGCACATCAAAAACAAAAGAAGAAAGGATTACATAAAAGTGTGTTATCCAGAAAGGGTATGCATAGATAGATTTTAAATTTTAATTCTGGCATAGGTTGTAGTAACAACCTGTTTAGTTACAAGGAGATGTAACTGAATTGTTGTTGCAACTTTTGACAGATTTGCTCAGTCAACTTTTGAGTTGCGCTTCAATAATTCTAAATCTGAAAAAGAGAAATCGGATGAGTAATTTAATTAGCCTTTTAATTAGGCAATAATTTCAAATTACCACAAGCTAGAAATGAGCAAAGGGTACATAGAATTTTCCATATGTTCCAATTCCTTATGAAGTGGAAGTCTCTTACTGTAACATTTATACTCCTACTCTGACTGAGGCTGAGGTTCTTACAAGGTGTACAAATAATAATTTTTAATGGAGTCCTTATTAGTATAGGCAGGTGCCCCCGGTGGCGCAATGGGTTAAACCCTTGTGTTGAGCGGGCTGCTGACCAAAAGGTTGGCAGTTTGAATCTAGGGAGTCGGGTGAGCTCTTGTCTGTCATGAGAGAAGCCTCCCACATGATGGTAAAACTCCTGGGCAACATCCTTGCAGACTGCCAATTCTCTCACACCAGAAGCGACTTGTAGTTTTTCAAGTCACTCCTGACACAAAAAAATTAGTATAGACTCTTCACAGTTGTACCTTTTGCACACAGTGAAATATTCAGCCACAATAACGGAATAGGGCTCAGTCAGACCACAGTATTATGCATATTTACCTGGGAGTAAACCACAGTGAACACAGGGGGGTTATTTCTGAAGTAAATGTGCACATGATTGGACTGTTAAGAGTTACATAGACTTCCCTTTAGGAAAACTTGTTACCAAATGATTTTACCTTCAGTAAAAGGCAGTACTTCATGTGGTGAGACAAACTTGTGAAAAGAGTCATCTTCATTAAGAAACTGGAGAAAACAGAAAAGGCAGTATCACCATCATTCTTAACAAATGTTTCACACACATTTCCAACACACATTTCCTTTACAAAATTAAACTCGGCTCCAGGCTTCCCTGTTTATTGTCCCTTCTGTGTTGCATATAATACAAGTCTAAGTCATATGCCATGTATAAAACGTATGAATGGAAGCCACACAAAAAACCAGTGCATTGACGTAGCCACTCCTCTGTAAAACATACTGACATTTTGCAACTTGCTTGCAACGGCAGATTTCTGTATTAGTCTTCTCAGTTTGATTTCCCTATCTTGCAAAACAGTAGTTCTCTTTGGCATTTGCATTTGGCTACAGCTATATTTAAAGATGAGACCACCTACCTGTGGTGTGAGCTTGAACATGGGTGCACAGACAATAAGTGGGGTGGAGTGATGTTTCGCTGCAAGTGCCAAAGTATGAGTCCCACTAACTGCTATCAAAGCCCCATTGGCCAAAATAGTCTTTGTTCCAATGATAACCTGTAAAATTCACATGTACCATGAAGAAACAATATAATAATTTGGGTTGTGTAACAACATTACATCAAATCTTGTAGAAAAAAAGCTATATCACAATAAGAATTCGTAAGATATATAGTAGACAAATAACTAGGTAAATATAGAATTATGATTGCTACAAGCAGGTTAATCTTTATCAATGTCATTCTTGTCCAAAGAAGTCCCCAAATGTTATGCCCATCATGGTGTTCTATTTCCACATCTCAAAAAACTGAACCTAAATAGGAGATGGCGTTAGTTGGGTCACCCAATTTTTGGAAGCACTGCTTCCAGTAAGATGCATTCTGCAACAGAATAACAAATAACTTCACAAGAATAACTTATTTTTTCAGAAATTGGCATTCTGTAACCTCAAAGGACTTCTTTCAGCAGAGCTCTCTCTCCAATGAGTGCCTCTATTATGATACAATACCTAAAAGAGTAATGTAAACACTTTTAGATAAGGGGTTAGCAATATATCACTTCAAAGTATATACTGCATTCTAAGGAGCATTCTGTAGGACTCGGGACATCCTCAGAGGGCTTCCCACTTGAGCTACATTTCTGGTAGCAGAGTTGAACATATGGGAGGGTGGGACTGAGAGTGGAACCATAGAATGGAAAGGATAAGTGGTGAACTATCTTCTAGATAACAAAGGAAGTAGTGACCTGAATATGCTGAAACACAGGCTGATTCCATAAAGAGATATCGGAAGACAGGAATCATTTGGTGTACTATGTACAAAGACATGTCAGCTTATCTTCAGTTCTGAGGAAGGTACTCAGAGCCAAAGTGGTAGACTGGAGTAAAACACAACCTGGAGAAAAGAAATCAGGCCCTCTGCCACAATGCTGAACAATTCTATGACTTTGTGCATATTACCTCAAACCCAGCAGTCCTATAATGCTTACCTTGTTGACGCGAGACATGACAGCAAAGATAGCCGCATCGCTCATAACGGTGGTTTCTATATTGGATTTAGATAACCGGACAGCCATTTCATGACCCTACAAAAAGGAAGGGTGGGGAGAGAAAAGACAGAATTATGGCAATAAGTTCTCTGTTACTTATATTTTTTTTAAAAAATGACTCTTATATTTTCCTAAAAATAGTATAGCTGATATTAGATATTTTAGAATTTACTTCTTTCATTTACCACACATAAGTAAACCCCCATAAACTAAAGCACTTCATTGTTTTTCTGGACAGCTAGCCTAACTGCCAGAGCTTGCTATTTAATACAGCAACACATAGAAAATACATGAGTGATACTTCTTTGGGCCTGCATTTTCTCTTTTGAGAAACATAGGAAACTTTTCCCAACTCATTTGCTGTTTCTAAAGCCAACATATTGTTGCACAGTGTATTAATAATGAAATTACAGTTCCACAGTAAGCTCTGAACAGCAAATAAGTGCAGCTCAGTGGACAGGCTTTTACCTGGCAAAAGGGTGCACATTCAGCCACAATGACATGGAATTTTCTTTTCCGTGCTGCTTCCTTGAGGAAAGCTTCTACTGTGCGTGAATAGCCAATGGTCATGATCACCTCATTAGAGTGGATATGCTCCAGTGCCTGCATAGCAATGTTGTCAGTAGTCCCCTCTGCAAGAAAAAGAAACCCATACATGTGAAGTTAATAATTTTGGTTGACTTCTCTTAAGGTTGGAATACTAACAAGGACTTTACAGTTCTTGTAAGAAAATGCCCTACTTTATTTTAATACATGCTGAGTTATAGCCACAATCCTTTTAAAGGGAAGAGCTCCTTCTATGCCCAAAATGTAATTTTTCACTGGAAACTCAAGAGAATGGAATTTTCTGTTCTAATACAGCTTGGACCTCATTTCAACCTAAATGTTGCAAAGAGCCAATGTCTACTTCCAATACATAATTTTCAATAATATGCAGTCCATGTGAGCAGAAGGAAGATAAAAGGGCCTTTGGCATGGCATGTGTACCCACCGAAGCACTTCAGAGTAATCAAGAATACAACTCTTCCGTGAGACTTATTACTGCTTTGAGCCCCTCACTAGGAGATAGATTGTATGGTAAGACAGAAAGAATTAGGAAAAGAAGACTGCTTTTCAAATGGAAAGACACTATCAAGAAAGCCATGGCTCTGAACCTGCAAGGCCTTTGATGAGTGTGTGACTTGGAGTCTCTCATTCGTAGAGTTGCCATAAGTTGAAGTGAACTTGATGGAAGTTAACAACTCTGCATTTCACTAGCACCATTCTCATTTCAACAAACATCTCTTACCTAGTTCAATCAACAGTTCGTTAATAGCTTCTATGATATTGGGCCTAAGTGGGGAGTAGTAGGTGCTGAAATCCTCACTGAGTCCTCCTGAAGTCAGAAGTTTGTGCAGTGATTCTTGCTGGTCATTCTCCTCACTGCGGCCTCGGAGTCTGTGAAATAAACAAACCCTTAAATCTGGAGGGAAAACATAAGAAAACCTAACTCTGAAAGAAAGCAATGAATGCTACATGTTGGATATGACATTTGTAGTCCTCACAAAAGAGAAGTTGAGACTCTGCACTTTATTTAACTTATGTATCATTGAATTGCCCTCTAGTTACTATGTCAGGTGCAGCAGATAGCAAGAACCCAGGAGGGTAGCTGGGGCAACTGTTCTTTTTGCTCGTTCCAAAGGAGGTGGTTTAGGGTGTGGTTTGTGAATGCAATTGCTCCTGCTCCATCTTCCCCAAGCTTGATGCTGCTCTGTGCACATTTATACAGATGTATCAGGTTTGGAGAAGATGGAGCAGCAGCAGGAATTGCTCTCACCAAATGCCCCCCAAAGCCCACGGAGCATTTGACTTGAGAGGCAAATCCTCCTCCCTATCTCTGAAGGAGAGTTAGCAAAGTGGAATAGTATTGAGACAGATTTAGCCCCTTTGGAACCAGCAAGAAGAAGTGGCTTTCCCAGTACTGCCTTTCTGTTCTCTTCACTCCCTCCAAAGACAGTATTACAATAAAATGAAGAGGAACCTCTGGAAGCAGAGCAGGATTAATGGTTGAAAGCTCAGCAGCACAGTATGATATTACAAGACATAAAGTAGGGGCGGAACATTGTGATTCTCCAGATGTTATTGGACTGCATGTTCCAACTACATGATTTGCAGTACAACGATAAGTAAGGGGCATCAATCCAACAGCATGCAAGGACATGATTTCCACTCATGGCATATGGCAAACTATAGCAACTTCACCTGCCATACTCCTCACGAATGATCTTCAGTACTCTTCTCACCATGTTACCCACAGTGGTTTCCGATGGCTGAGCTGCTGTCATTCTCGTACCCTCCTTACGAATCAGTTCCATTAGGTCTCCTGGAATGGGAGGAAAAAAAGGCAGCTTTTAAAGTTCACTACTGAAAGAGCGGGAAATAATTATGTTCCTGTAGGGCAGGGGTTGGACTGGGTGGTCCTTTTGGTCTCATCCAACTCTATGATTCTGTGAAAGCTGAAATATATTGAGAAGAGATTTCAGCTCATTTGATTGCTCTGGCAGTCCACATTTGGACTTTGGGACATGAGACTGCATGCAGAGCAGTAGCTATTACCACCTTCAGTCAATACGGTATATCAGTTTGAATGTTTGATGTGGGAGATCAGGGTTCAAATCCCATCCTGCCATGAAAACCCATAGCATTGGGCAAGTCAAATGCTCTCCGCCACAGAAAACTCTGTGTAGGGTCACTTTAAGAGTTGCCATAAGTTGGAAATGATTTTAAAGCACACAACAAGAGCATTGTATGCTCCATAACCAAAGAGAAGCTCCTGCTTTAAAAATCAGAAACAAAAAAAAATGACAGTGGATAGATATAAGTCTCCTTCTCTAAAGGTTTTAATGCAGAGGCTTGATGGCCATCTGTCAGGAGTCCTTTAATTGTATATTCCTCCCTGGCAGAGTGAGGTTGGACTGGATGGTCCCTGAGGTCTCTTCTAGCTATTATAATGAAATGGGGTGTGCGAAGCCGCGTCCCCACCGCTCGTTACTACAATTCGAAGCCGTTCACTTGCTGCCACCAAAATATGTGAAGTAGTCTCCAAAAATAAAATAATGGCGTGAAATCCCAACTAAATAGGATCACCACACAAATGTAATGAGAATTTGAGTCTTCTAGGTTAAGCTGCCACCCTAATATAAAGAGATATTGGTAATATAATCTCTGTTTCTTCTTATCTGGGTTGTGAGGCCACCTTGGTAGTGTGGATTGTGCAAAACGTTGAAATCAATGGATGAGGCAGGTTTTAAAACACAAAGAGAACAGATTTATTGTCGGAGTGTAACTGTTGCAATATTAACTGTTGAACTTGGCACAAGCTTGATGGTTACAAATATGGCTTAGTTGAGATACATTCAGGTGATGTTACAATTCTTTGACTTCTTCTACAATGAGGTGCTTTAATATTTCAGTTCCCTATTGTGAATATTTACAACTGTTTGTCCTACACAGGATCAAACTAGCGATCTCCAGCCATTCACCACTGGGATCCCTAAACCTCTTTCTTGTTAGATTCTTTCTTTACTCAAGCAATCTAACGAGGTTTCACCTCCAGCTTCCTAGCTGGAATAATATTCACAAATCCTAAGAACTGGCTGAATTACACTACACCACAGAGCCTCAACTGACTCTGTCCTTCAGGGTTTCATTCCCCCTGACTGAACTATTATCCCAGAGTCCCCTTTGACTCTGTCCTTCAGGGTCTCATCCGCCTGACTGATTTAAACTGTCGTTTTCAAACCTTTCCTACTTAAGCTCCGCCCACCTCCTCTGGCCTGTCACCATGGCAACCTATCTCTCTCAGCTAGGTCATGGCTACAATGTAAAGCATAAACACAGTTTAAAACACAGTTATAATAGACACTTCTCTACAGGGTGCTTCAATATCTTTAAAGAGCTGAACAGAAGGAAAACCTGGTAAGTACTGTATATCTCTTACAGGAGCAGATGTATACAGTTCTTGGCACAGTTTGTTCTTTTGCACTACAGCCCTAAGCTTGCACTGCTAGTAGTTATTCAAAGCGAGGGAAGACACACAGGGAAGCAGATGTGCACGCGTTCGGTATGTTGCTTTTGGAGATGATGCATGACATCGAGGCAGAGAGGATCACAGAGCTGGAAGAGACCGCAAGGGCCACCCTGTCCAACTCCTAACGATGCAGCTTATAATCGCATCAGCCTTTTTAGCTGTTGCATCACACTGTTGGCTCATATTCAGAAGGCAGATCCTCGCTCTCTTCTCTCCATTTCGGTGATGGAGGCTTTTGAACAGATGGCCATCTGCCGGGGCTGTTTTGAATGCGATTTTCCTGCTTGGCAGGGGGTTGGACTGGATGGCCCACGAGGTGTCTTCCAACTCTAGGATTCTATGTCAAAGGCTGCCTTTCTCCCTCGGTGGGGAAGGGAGCCCTCAAGGCCTCGCTCACCGGCATTGTCCCATCGCCCGTTCGCCACGATCCTCCGGAGGAGCCCCACCGTCTGCCGGGCAGCCTCCTCCGACCTCGGCCGCTTCCCGCCCCGCTTCAGGAGCGCCACGAAGTCCTCGATCTCCCCGGACAGGTCGGACTCCTTCTTGGTGGTGATGGCTGACATCTCCGCGACTTCAGATGGGAACGGAAAGAAGGGAGAACTCTCTCCACGCGGAACAAAACAAAAAGGGACCGTGTAGCCACCCGGACTTTCTAAGGGAACAGGGCCCACTTCCGGGCAACCGCGCCCTCATTGGTCGAGCGAGTTGGTCGCCCCGCCTTTTTGGAACGGGAGTGTCCAATCGCCAATGGGCACCGGAGGAGCCTTTGGGGCAGCGCAAGGAATCCGTGGCTCGAGCCTCGTTGCCAGCGAAAGGGATTGTGGGAGACGTAGTTGAAGGGACACAGACTCCCAGTTTCAAGCTTTTCAGACCATGAAGGCAGAAGCGATTTTACAAGGTCTCCAGACGTTCAGGTTTTAATTGAATATTAATTGTTTTTTTAATGGCACCAGACTGTATTTGAACCCAAATATTTTAGTTTTTCCACAAATCCGTGGCATATGTCAAATAGTCCCTTCTAGCTTACCATTTTGCCAGTATAATATTCTATATACCCTTACACACAATTATACTTTAAAATCTCATTCAGATCCTAATAGAAAGTAAATTTCAGCCTTTAAACCACGTCCTTTCACCTTGTTCCATTTGTATATTATGTCCAAAATTCCCATTTAATCACAAAGTCCTTTTTTTATCTTCCATCTCAAATTGTAACAAAAGTTCATACATTTTGCCAATTCTTGCTTTGTGTGAGTGTGACAGGAGCAACTTGAAAAACTGCAAGTCACTTCTGGTGTGAGAGAATTGGCCATCTGCAAGGATGTTTCCCAGGATGTTTTACCATTCTTGTGGAGGCTTCTCTCATGTCCTTGCATGGGGAGCTGGAGCTGACAGGGGGAGCTCAGCCCACCCTCCCCAGATTCAAACCGCTGACCTGTTGGTCATCCTGCCGGCACAAGGTTTTAACCCATTGTTTCACCGTGGGCTCCTCGTTCGTAACTGGGCTTCAAATTCCGACCGAGTTCAACACCATAAAGGTTTTTTTGTCTGGTTTACTTCTTTCAAGAAATCAATTGAAATGCATAATTCTTCTTCAGTAACTGTTTGTTTTTATATTACAGTCTTCTTGACAGTTCTCCAATATATTTTGGGACCATGAGCATTTTTCTTTCCCAGGCCTCATCTACACTGACCATTTCATGTAGTTCCAGGCCAGCTTCAGACTGGGTCAGAAAGACAACAAAGGTATGTGAAAGAACGCCCTCAATGCACATTCATGCTATATGGCAGGCATAGGCAAACTTGGGCCCTTCGGGTGTTTTGGACTTCAACTCCCACAATTCCTAACAGCTGATATGGTTTGTGTAATCACTATCAAAGCCTCAAACTGGTTCCAGAATTTCCTGTGTAATCATCTGCACAGAGAAACCACTTTCTTCAATACTGGTTTGAAAGTGTATTAAATGGTCAGTGTAGATGGGGCCCTAGTTGTTTCTTTTCTATAAAAGGCTTCTTGTTTTCAGACCTATAATGCCATTTTCTGACATAATTTGAGTTTAAATCTCATCCATCATCTCAGTGAGACATGCCTCATGTAATGGTTGGCACCATTGATATTTGTACCAACTGAACCTCAACTTCTGTTTCTCAAAGTCTTTTATTCCTCAACAGTCCCTATTCCTTTAACCACACCAAGCAGCATGCTGCAAAATATAATCTCAATTTTGGTAACCCAAGACCTCCTCATTAGTACATTTATTTTTCAATCTGTTGTCGAAAACTGGACCCCAAAAGGATGAATCCCATAGGCTCCATAGGGATGAATTGGGAAGTTGAATTCTTGTCTCGTTTCAGACTGTCTGTCATTGAAACCCCTTGAATGTTGCACAAGCACCTTATGCAGCTCAGACCCCAGAGGGATGGCTGTACATTAATTACCACAATCCCTTCATAATACATTGGGAAGACTATACAGAAAGAGCCACTGCAGTTTTTTTTCCTGTTTTTCTGATACACACAAATTGTTTTGTTGTATTGTAACCACTTTAAGTCTCCTTGTGGAGATAAAAAGCAGGGTATAAATTAACAAAATAATAATAGAAGACCAAGACAGTGATTGAAAGGCACAAAATGCACAGGATAGTACCCTCAGAGCAAATAAGAAACATAAGACACCTTACTAACTTGCTTACTTAGGCGATTCCTCGTTGGATGAGTAAGATGGTCTTCCATGATGGGTTTCCTTGTGGATTCGTAGGTGGCTGTGGAGCCCTATTCTTGACCCTCATCTTTTCCCACAGTGAAGGCATTGGTTTCCAGGTGGAAGGCGGTCCCGGTCGGGGTTGGCTTGATGCGCCTTCCTCCTGGCACGTTTCTCTCTTTCACCCTCCACTCGTGCCTCCTCGAATTCTGCAGCACTGCTGGTCACCAAACAAAGGCCATCACCATGCTCATACAAAGAATAAAACCAATGTGAATTATCAATAATTACACATAATTTTTTGTGGAGGTGTGTGTTCAAATTTATTTATTTATGACATTTATATGCCACCCCTCTCACCCTGAAGGGGACTCAGAGTGGCTTACATGGTATATATGCATACAATATATTATATTATTAGCATAGTACAGTATGAGTATTAAATATTACTATATTGTATTATACCATTATATTGTAATATTATTAGTTGTTGTTGTTCATTCGTTCAGTCGTCTCCGACTCTTCGTGACCTCATGGACCAGCCCACGCCAGAGCTCCCTGTCGGCCGTCACCACCCCCAGCTCCTTCAAGGTCAGTCCAGTCACTTCAAGGATGCCATCCATCCATCTTGCCCTTGGTCGACCCCTCTTCCTTTTACCTTCCACTTTCCCCAGCATAATTGTCTTCTCTAGGCTTTGCTGTCTCCCCATGATGTGGTCAAAGTACTTCAACTTTGTCTCTAGTATCCTTCCCTCCAATTATTAGTAACATTATATAAAGTATAAATATATAATTATAATATAATATAATCTTATTACGAGTGTTATATTGCATTATATTATAATATTATAAATTCAAATTAACACTTTGAATTTCCGTGGCAATTTATGGTGATGGTTTTCTGATCTTTTATGTAGCCAAACAAAGAGACTCACTTTATATGTTACATATGCATTGGAATCGCTCAGCAGAAGCGGAACCATTTCTACAAGGGAGTTCCCATTTTCATTTATCAGCAAAGATTTCAAAAATCTTTCTCTCAGGTCACTACAGTGTCTTCCACCTGACATTGGCTACAGATGCATAGTCTGTATTCCAATAGCACATTATGATAACAACCGTCTAACACTCTGGTGGACATTACTTGGAATCATAGTTCAGTAAAGGCAATTGTTAAGGAGGATGGTTTAAGCTTAATTGGAACTGAAATGGTCAGTTTTCAAAAAGGAAAACCTTGGGGAGAATTTTGAGGTCCTAATTTATTGTTTTTCCTGATGTGATCTGGTTTTATTCCTGGGAATGTTTCCTTTCCTATGTTGCCAAATTGGACCCCCTCCTTGGGGTCTCCATTGAAATTGCCAATACCCAGAATAACCTTTTGTTTACCTGGCTAGCACCCATTGTATTGCCCAACATAGAAGCATCAAAACCCATTTAAACTCATAATTATCTCTAGCCCATCTGCATTCCTTTCCACCTGCACCCTTCTCTGGGATGAATCAATAAACAGGCACAAGCCACCAAATATACCAATGACATTTTATTAAACTGGAAATTGGCAATAACAAAATGGTGCATCCCAGCCAACCAGCCTGCAGATACTAGTCTGCCATGACCTGGACCAATAAACTTCCAGGGCAACAAAAGTCCTTTGTTCAAACTTCTATCAAAGTGCTATAAATATTTCTGTATGTTTGCACTGAGCTGTCAGTCTTTGAAGCGCAGACTCTATTGACATCCCTTTGGCCAAGAAGAACAAACATCTCTGATTTTGCCTTCAATCCGTCTGTGTCTCATTCAGTGCTTTGGGAGCTTGACCCTCTGGGAGGAGCTGAAATCACATATCCATGATCTCTTTAAAAATCATTAGCTCTTATTAGCAGCCAAGGTGACAAAACAGAGACAATTATATTGCTAAACAAAATGACAGGACTCATTTGGAAAGAAAATAATTTAATAATGTAAAAATGAAGTTACTCTTTTTACTGCAGCCTGCACTATTTCACAACAAAAGTATTGGCTGAGGACAAAAGAACAGGGAAAGTGCTGAGTTCCTGGAAAGAAGGAAGGAAGGAATTAAAATGAAGTAAGTAAACATTTCAAGAGATAACTTATTAGACATTTTAATCTTGGTGAATGATCTTACTTACATAAACAAGTCTCTCACACACCTTTTATGGAAATTGCACTTCCCCTTTTACACTTAATCTCTCCTAGTCATGTCAAAGAAACAAATACAAAGTGTCAAGACATAAGAATGTTGTTACTAATTTTGAATCTCTACACCTCGTCAACAGTGTTTTATTATACAGGATCTCAGTCCTGAACAAAAATTCTTGTTGTATAGTTACTGGAGGTATCATATTTTGCTTCTGTAATATCAATTCATCAACCTGAGGCCATATATTTCAAAAGCTGGTACTTTAGATTAAAAGGCAGGAAGAGTTGTTTTTTTTTAGTTGCCAACACTGTGAACCATCCTGAGCCCCCTTCAGAGTTGAGAAGGATCTATTTGGCCATGAGAGTGGACTCACAGAATCATTGAGTTGGAAGAGACCTCATGGGCCACCCAGTCCAACCCCTTGCCAATCGCATTCAAAGCACCCCTGACAGATCCAGCCTCTGCTTAAAAGCCTAATAAGACTTAAAAGCCTCATTCTTGCACAGTTTAATCTTGGGAATTCTCAGGGATAAGGTTTTGTTTTTACTCATAACTCTGTTCCCTGGTCCAAAGAGTAACAATCCCAGAGCACCTTATTTGAACGAGACCTTGCTGAGGCTGTGCTCTTTTTTTCTCTATGTCCAGAGAGAATGTCCTGCTCAGCTTTTGGGTGCCTATATATCCTTCGCATTACAGGCAGTCCCCAAGTTACAAATATCTGACTTACAAATGACTCATAGTTAAGAACAGGGGTGAGACAACAGGATGTTGGAGAAATAT